AATACTTTACATTTAAGTACTTTATATTTACATGGAGGGGACCCTCTCTACGGAGGCCACCATGTTTTTCACATTAGTCCAGACTGAACAAACTAAAACCTTCTGAGTTTTTATGAAAACTGAAGCTGCCACTTCTTCTTCTTCATGTTTGGAAGGAGAGGGGGAGGGGAGGGGGGTTCAGCTGCAACATGACACTTCACCACTAGATGTCACTAAATTCTACACACTGCACCTTTAAAAGAACAACTTCAGACATCACCATGAAACCTCAGGTGAAGTCCAATGAGACGACTTGCTTTGTCCGCCTGGTGTCCTCCTGGATGTCCCTGCATGTATCTGGGCCAAACGGCCAACGGGGACGCTGGCAACTCCTCCTGGTCTGACCGTGCCAGTTAACAGTCACCATGGCGACAGCAGCCACTGCGCAGGGCAGCGTTGTGTGAGACAGTTTGAGACAGAGAACGGGAGTTTGAAACCGAAACAAGACGAGAGAGTTCGCATGTAAAACAGACTTTGAACCATCTCACCCACAGCGGCAGCAGCCGGGCTCATATTTGGAGTTTCTGAGAATCAACGTCAGCGGGGGTGAAGTTTTCTTTTCCTCACAATCACATTGTTGAGGAGTTGCAGCTCGACCTGAGTTCCCTGTTTACCAAAGCTTATGTAACTGTGCTGATTCCCAGAGGGAGGCTGCTTTCAATGACAAAGACCTCAAGTTTCCCCGTCGCTGGCAGCGGCCGGCTCGAGGCTTTTGAGGAGCAGACATGAGGTTGAGCTGAGGTGACAGCGACACAGTTCGATTTAAATCACATCACTTCAGGATTACACCTGATGACCACTGGAGTTTACAGAGACCCTGCAATTAAGTCAGCGCTGCTGGTCACGTTGTAGTTTGAAAACTCTGGGGTCGTGCTTTAGTCTGAGGGAACAAAAAAGGGTTTGTCTCTGAAGTGCAATGAATTGTGGGATACATTGGCCCCAGGAAAGGTCGACCCATCTGAGTTTTCGCTATCCAGGGATGGAAGGATGCATTTGAAGGGGCCTTCGACAGTGTGGTTCAGTCACATTGATCCTCAGTCTGTTAAACTCATAATCCATGAAATGAGTTCAGACATATTTAAAGGACTGAGAGAAGTCGCTGCAGCTCGACTGAATGAAGCGACTGTTGATTCTGAGCTCTGTGATCTTCTAGTTGGTCTGTCGATCGATTTGTTCTTCAGTGTTTGCTCATGTTTGCTTCTCTCATGTTCTCCTCCGTGCAGGTTTCCAGGATGTGCATGTGATGATCTTCATCGGCTTCGGCTTCCTCATGACCTTCTTGCAGAGATATGGCTTCAGCAGCGTGGGCTTCAACTTCCTGATTGCAGCCTTCGCCCTGCAGTGGGCGACGCTCATGCAGGGATTCTTCCACGGCATGCACGGAGGCAAGATCCACATCGGAGTGGAGAGGTATCTACAAACGTGTGAAGAAGAACGTCTTCCTGAATGTTGAGAGTTGAACTGTTTCCTACTGAAAAACAGAAAAACCACAATGTTCATGTCCCGTCCATGTGAACGCACACACAGAAACAGACACACAAACACACTCAACGTGTTTGTTCTCAGTAGGTCTGCCCTCACCCTGAGGCATGATGGGAAGTCCACACACATTTAAAACTTTTTCTCCTGTCGCTCACTTTTAACTTGTCACAGAACAGAAGATTTAAATGAACGAGACAAAAACCAAAGACCGTGGTTTGATGAGAAAGTCTGGAACTTTAGTTTTGTTCTTATTCTCAAACTGGATCCTAGAAAAGAAAAAAGTACGATCACATGACAATTTAAAATATCACACGACTCATATTTAAGTGCAGAATCACACAAAGTGATTTTCAAACCTTGACCTTTGAAACAGTGATATACTAAAAATAAGGAAGTTAAAGAGCCTCTGAGGAACATGATGCAGTGTTCTAGAAGATTTGTTGTCGTTTCGTTGGAGCTGCTGTATCTGTGCTGACGTGGTCTCACTCACGCTCCGTCTCTTTCAGCATGATCAATGCTGATTTCTGCACCGGCTCGGTGCTCATCTCATTTGGAGCCGTGCTGGGTAAAACCAGCCCGGTCCAGCTGCTGGTCATGGCCATGTTCGAGGTCACGCTGTTCGCTGTCAATGAGTTCGTCGTGCTGTCTGCTCTCGGGGTGAGTGACAGGAAACACATGCATCTTCTTCTTCTTCTCACTTTCTGACCTGATGCGTAGAATCCCTCTGTCGGAGAACCTCCATCTGTATCCACCGACTCTACAACTACTGAAGCAACGTGAAACCAAGTGACCTGACTCTGTTTCAGGCCAAAGACGCCGGAGGCTCCATGACCATCCACACGTTTGGAGCCTACTTCGGCCTGATGGTGACCCGGATCCTCTACCGGCCCAACCTGGACAAGAGCAAACACAGGAACAGCTCCGTCTATCACTCCGACCTGTTCGCCATGATCGGTAAACAACACGCAAACAGTAGTCTGCCATCTAGTGGTTGTGACATGAACTGTCACCATGAGCTCTGCGAGTGCACACATTGAACACAGTCCGGTGACTGAGGAACGTTTGGCTCTGAGGGATTCTTCTGGAACAAACACTGAAACTGACCAAATTTAAAATAAAGGAATAAATAAACAACTCAATAAATCAATTATGTCGCTACATTTAGAATTTAATTCAATGTCTGTACGAGTGTCAGGTTTACAAACACAAGTCACATAGAAGTAGACACGT